AGAGAGAGAGAAATTGGTTGACTCCTGCAGGCATCTGCAGGCATCCCATCTGGGGCCAGGGATAGAATCTGTGACCCTTTGGTGCGCAGGCTGATGCTCTAACCACTGAGAACACCGGCCAGGGCTATTCTGCCTTTTTAGGTAAGGAGACTGAGGCTCAAAGAGGCTAGGTAACACATTCAAGGTCACACAGCCATTACATGGCAGGGCCAGGACCTAAAATCAGAACCCAAGTTCTTTTCATTGTACTATATTGCTTCCCCATAATCCTCTCTGCACTGTCCTTACGAAACTGTTGTCTAGAGGCTAATGGTCATTGACAACAACCCCGTCTTTCTCTAAAGCTGCCCATCCCACAGTCCATTGATTGTAGCCATTGAACGTTTTTTTCATGTGAGTCAGATCTCTTTCTAAGTTTCCACCCACAAGTTTTCTATCTGCTGTCTGAACCACTAAGAATGAATTTAATCATCCTTTCACAGAGCAGGCTCTCTAATATTGGAAGGTATGGTATAAAATTGTATCAGGTTGGTCCCTATCGTATATGTTTGTAAGGGCAGGAATATCTGAAAGGGAGCCTATCTGAATTGCATGCGGCTTTCTTCCCAACTATGTAGATAGAACATTACTTAGTAATTACTTAGCACATTAGTAGGCATTCAACAAATATTCATAGAATGGATGAAAGCCGGCCAGAGGGGGGAGGTACAGAATATGGTTAGTGAGGCAGCGAACATATAAACGAGATAATTCCTCCTCCCTCATGACTTTCTCTACATATCATAGTCTTATGTTCATACTGCTTCCTCTAAGGTATTTTTATCAAAGTCTTAACTACCATGTTAACAGAAATCTGAAAAAGAAAAAATGGCTAGAGGCACCACTTTCAGAGAATATGTTCAGTTCTGCTTCCACCCCATCCCCTCAACTATCTACCCTTGTTTCCAGGGGGTCAATATTCTTCAAGCTAAACTTGTGGGTCTAATACACCCTCAAAAGAGACTCTCATCTCATTCTTTAGACGTGGTTTCTACAACTGAAGATCTGACCACCATAGAGGAGTGATTGCTATTCTATACCATAAATATAGACTATATATCTGTCTCGGCAGCCATTCCAGAACAACTGCTTTGTCTTACTCCTTGAGCCTTTGGAATGTTTGAACTGGGCAAAATAACCTTGAAAGTGGGCCAGAGCAGCTCTGTCCTCTAAACAACTGTTTGTAAAGCTAACAGGAAAACAGGCTTCCGACGACAAGGACCGATCATTGAAGCCATTCTTTATAATCAGTAAAGAGCCATGCATATCTGAGAAACGACTGAGCTTATTAGTACCAGTAGAAATTCCTTTTACCCATGTATTTCCCCTTCTTTTTCTCATAAAACCCTCTGCCTTCACCCCATAATTAGAACCCTGTTTGGGTGTCTGCTGGAATCGGTGCTTTTGGGATATTTATTTTTGTGTGTGTGATTTCAAATGCTTGTTGCCTCTCACTTTGAATTTTTACTTTCAAGTTAAAAAATATACATGTATATATAAAAAATATACATGTATATATAAAAATATATATGTATACATAAATTGATACATTTCACACCCATGGAGAAGTAATTTTGTTGCATCTAAGACATACCATAAAGCACTGGGGGTGGATAAATGGGGAAGCAGCAGTGGAGAGAAGGGACAGCAGTGTTTTTCACTGTATCCTTTGCAGCTCTGTCTACGCGATTAAACCAACATTAGAAACTGTCCAGTCTTATATTCACTATTTAGAAATCTGGAAAAGGTGGCGACCCTCCGATGACAGGTACAGAGACGGGCAGTTGAGCGCAGGGACCCTTTACAGGCACTGCCGACTGTGCCGGGAGTGCCCGCAGATACGGCTCCGGGTGGCCTGCGGGTGACGTTCTCATGGGGCTGCTGTCACTGCTGTGTGGAGGGCCACACTCCCCAGGGCTCACCGTTCGGCTGCCTGTGCCCCTGCTCGGCCAGCGCGGCTCCTGACGCTCTCCGGGTCTGTTTCCCCTCCGGTAAAGGTGGGGCTGGCATCGCAGGGGAGACTT